CTGAAACAGGCTCCAGGCTCCGAGCTGGCAGTCAGCACAGAGCCCGACGCGGGGCTCGAACCCACGAACCGCGAGATCATGACCTAAGCGAAAGTCGGACGCTTAACCGACTAAGCCACCCAGGCGCCCCTAGAAGTTCATTTCTTATAAACAATTTCAAGAATAAGCAGGAATTTCAGGAATTAATGTACCCTTTTTCGACCTGGGTTCCACTAGAATTAAGCCCTAATGCTTTGGAGCATCCATCAGATCTATCAATTCACTTCTATCCATCTGGAAGTGTACTAGTTATGAAACATCCTTTAGAGAGAAAATAGTCTCTCCAATCCTTTTCTGTGTTCTGTGACTCTGAAGAGGAGCTCTGGTTGAGAAAGGCTGGTAGAGGCTTCGAAATGAAAGCATGACAAAACTTGGCCTAGGATCTTTAGGCAGGGAGAGTAGGCCATAGACTACCCAAGCCTCCAGGTAACTTCAGCAAAACAAGCACTCTGGATAGGAAGGTACCTTTTTCTGAAATGTCGTAAGTCTTCTTCTAGCTGTTCACATACTATATCAGAGTGTGGGTATATATCAGAGGGTATATGAGGGTGTACCACAGACCTCAACAAGAATATAAAGTATATGTCTCTGGACACCTTTCATCAACATTTATTAATCAAGCACTTGTTAGGTTAGACATTTCTAAATGTGGGGAATAGAGCAGTACAAAAACAGACAAAAATCTCTACTCTCATGGATCTCATATTCAAGTAAGGAGAGAAAGATAACAATAAATTATAATACATAGTATACATAATAAGTGCTGTGGAGAAAAATTAAGGAGGAAACTTTGATAGGAAGTGTTGGGTGGGATGTTTGTACAATTTTAAGAATAGCCAGAATAGGCCTCAAGGAGAATGTGACTTTTAGTTAAGAACTGAAGGAGGCAGGATACCCAACTAGGATATCTTAAAGGACCCCAGGCAAAGGAAATAGCAAGTGCAAAGAACTTAAAGCAGGAAAGTGCCTGGCATATTTCAGAATAACAAAATAGTGGGAAGGAGCCACTAGTGTGGCTGGGGTGAAATGAAGAGGAGGGAGGTTCGGGAATGTAGTGATGTGACTAGAAATGTAATGGGAGGGAAAGGGCTGCATGGGCCATTGTAAGAACTTTAGCCTTTACTTAGAGTGAGACTGAGAAGCCATTGGAGGGTTTGGAACAGAGACTTGATATTACTTGACTGACTGATTTCAAGAGAATGAATCTAGCTCTAGTGCTGTGAATAAACCGAAGAGAGGCAAGCTTAGAATTCAGGAGCTCCGTTTTTAAGACATGGGACATTTGAGATGCCTATAAAACATCAAGTGAAAGGATTGAGCAGGCAGTTGGATACATGGATTGAGTGTATAGGGGAGAGATTTGAGGTGGAGATAAAATCTGAGAATCCAATATCAATACACAGTATTTATAACTACGAGGCTGCACGAGCTCATGTGGGAGAGTATAAGCAGAGAAGAGGTCCAGAGACTGATCTTGGGGCTCTCCAATGTTAATTTCTGTAGTCGCTTCAATGATAATGTATGCTGAAAACGGTTCCAAGTTTTTAATTGACATGTATTTGCATATCAAATTTGGAAAGCTATGAGTCAATTTCATTATTCTTGGTCTTCATTTGATAGATTAGGAGCTCTTTCTGTAGCACCTCGTATAACTTCTCACTGCCTCTGTTATGACATCACAAGCTATGAAAGTTTTCCAGGATCACACAAACAAATCACATATGGATCAAAGCCTAGAAAATCAGTCTCTCCTAACTGCCAGTCCAGGGCTTGCCAATTGTTTATGCAAAAAAACAAAAAACAAAAACAAAACGAGATACAGTGTATCTGAAACAGCTGTAAAAGAAGCAAACATCATCTTAGGTTTCATTTTATTTTTATTTAAAAAAATTTTTTTAAATGTTTTATTTATTTCTGAGAGAGAGAGAGAGACAGTGTGAGCAGCGGAGGGTCAGAGAGAGAGGGAGACAAGAATCTGAGACAGGCTCCAGGCTCTGAGCTAGCTGTCATCACAGAGCATTAGGCTTCATTTTTAAAGCACTGGGTTTATGGAAATATCACTTCCTATAGACTATTTCAGATCATACCTGGAATATTAAAGTCATAGGCATATTTTTAAAAGGATACTTAATCTGGAATATATCCAGATGAGGACAACTAGGACAACGGGATCCCCTGAAAATGGTGATTTTTATTTCTACGTAAAACCATTAAATTCCAAGGATTATATAAGAGCTCATCAGAGCTAAATGACTAGATAAAGCAAGAATCATCGTATCATCTAAAATGCTCCCAAAGAAGCCAGATGGCCATTTGTCAGGGATACCATCAAGGTAATTCTAGCATCCAGTGGGAAGTTGAATAATTGATCTTAAGTTCTTTTCTTTTTTTTTAATTTTTAAATTTTTATTTATTTTTGAGAGAGAGCACTCAAGAGTGGGGGAGGGGCAAGGAGCGAGGGGACAGAGAATCTGAAGCGGGCTCTGCACTGACAGCTCAAACTCACGAATTGTGAGATCATGACCTGAGCCAAAGGCAGACAGACACATAACCAACTAAGCCAGCCAGGCACCCGATCTTAAGTTATTTTATTATCTCCAGAATGTTTTGACTCCATGCTCCTGAATTTAATTTCTTTAAATGGATATATAAGGTTGACAATTTTTGAGTCGTTCAACCTAAAAGGTCCAAGTTTCCCAGAGTGACATCAGTCAATATCACTCACTAATGAGGTATACTAGGCAACTATGTGTTCACTTAGAAACCAAGGATATCAATCATACTTTCTAGGTAAGTATTTGTTTTATAAGTACCCTCCCTACATATAGGGGTTCAGTAGGAAGGCAGGCATTGGTTTTCTCTGCAGGAACACAATTGGAAATGTGGCTCTAGCGTGTAGGGAGAAGACTGAACTGGTGTTAAAATTTAGTATAGTTATTGTTTAGTATCAATCTTTAAACAAACTCAGTCTAAAATTTTAACCACCATTTTATAATTCACAATTCACAATTAGTTTGGTTTCCAGAGTTACATTAACTAGTTCACGAATTTTCAACACTGGCTATTGCAGTAGAATAAGACAGTTACTCAAGTCAGTATCTTTACACAGAAATCCATAGGGATTTACATCATTCCATTATAGGGGTGGGGGGCAGGAGGGAATAAAAAGAGAAATATAACAAGTGTAAATAACAATCTACTCAACCTAAAAGCTTCCCAAACAAGCTTTCTTCAACTTTACATAAATACTACTTTCCTATTTGTGTGAAGAACAAATAAAATTTCAGGTCATGATGAAATATTTCTAAAGAATATTACTATTTATAATGTGAAGAGATAACTAGGGCAAACATTCAGCTTCCTACTATATTCCAACAGAAAAGCAAAATAAAATAGCTCCATATTAGATCAGATACATTCTAGGCTTTGTTGCACAAATGGCCAATGCCTTCAAGGGGTCCTACGTGATAATAGCTGATCTGGCATTAAATGATAGCACAGCTCCACAGCTCATAATTTGAATTAATGCTACTGCAGAGGAAGGAAGGAGTGACAAGCAATACAATGGCATAGCTTAGAAGAGAAGGCAAAGGGCTCACTAGAACTAGGGCTCTCTTGAATGTTTTCTTTGTTTCTTGGGGCAATTAAAGTTTCCTTCTTAATTTGTAAGTACTGGATGGAGGGATGGGGAACTCCTCTTATTTTCAAAGAATGGAAAAACACGAGTCTTTATACATGCTGTTCAATGAAGGTCATCAATGAGTTACATATGCTCATCCTCTGAATAAATCAGAATTTAGTTGTGTTAATCACCCTCTTCTGCCATTGTTGGAAGAAAAGACCTCTATTAGACTCCACCCTGAATCCGCAAGAGGAATCCCAAGATTCCATCCAGAATTTTGGTCTAAATTTTTACTGAAGAGTCAAAGTGTTTATTCCAAAGCACAGGTTTGATGGTACTTAATTAGCCTTGGATGGACAGGAAGGTCCATTGATCACACCAAATTAGCCTCCAGAGCAGCTCAGTACTCACCTGAGCTGTAGCTGTCAGTAGATGACTGAGAAATGGAACGAGACAGAGAGCGACGTCCAATTTTGGTGGGACGTTTGTTGAATTCTTGCTTCTGGTCAGCAAATTGGATCTGCTAAGAAAAAGAACTGTAGTTATATAAAGAAAAACAACCTTCACTTTGAGATTGCAGTTCAAGGCTTGCATTATAGGATATTATCTTCCTTTGCAGTTGATCTAATTCTACCAACCCATTTTTTGAATGTTAAGACTTTTTGGACTGAATGATTTTTCATTCTTTACCTACTCTGTTCCTATCAAATTTAAATCTTTGCTCAACTCTGTGGCCATATACCTTTAAAATAAAATTGTGACAAAAAAAATAAAAAGAGAGAATGGGATGTTCTGGTTAAAATAAATTTTTAGAAAGTTGAGTCATATTCCTTTCTATTGTTTCACTGAAAATTAAAGCTGGAAAGAGTCTTTGAGACTATCTATTCTAATATTCATATATCTAGATGAGAAAAATGCAAGGTACAGGAAGGTAAAGTGATTTGTCTTCAGATTTTAAGAGTCTCACAGGAAATGGGATGAATAATAAAAAAAGGGGGGGGGGCTTTCCACTAAGAACTTTCTGAAGCTGCATTCAAATCCTGACTATACCATTCATTAGCTATGTGATGTTGGTCAAGGTGTTTTGTGATCCACATTTTCTCATAAATACAACAAAGATAAAAGTACTTACCTCACAAGTTTTAGAGAGTATTAAATGAAGCAATGCACATAAACTATTAAACATAGCAGTAGATTCAATAAATCCACCCCTGACTCCTACCTCTGCAATTCACTGTTCTTATAACTCTTACAGGTAGTCACTCTAGCTTTTTAAAGGCTTTCTAGAAATATATTAATTAGCTTTTCAATACTAATAAGTATAGTAAATATACTATATTTATTATTTTTAATGGTTGGTATCATAGAATACCTAAAAGCCACAGGATTGATCATCTATTAACTATAACACAACAGATGTAGAAGGAGCAGATGACAGGACTGAATGTATATAGACAGCAATGCTCTGGAGGTTGCATTTTGGACCAATACTGATGATTTTCTTACAATTTTATCCCTTTCTCCTATTGTTGGAGGTTCCAGCTGAAAGTTCATAGAATTTATTCAATAAATAACATTTCTTTTTTCTTTTTAGCTCTAATTGAATGTTTGTATAATTACATGGATTATTCTGGATCCAAGGTGGCAGAGAGGCAGGAAGGATCAACAATCTCACAACTACCTTTCATGATAAAAAGATGATTCCCTGGGGCACCTGGGTGGCTCAGTCAGTAGAGCATCCAACTCTTAGTTTTGGCTCAGTTCATGATCTCACAGTTTGTGAGTCTGAGCTCCGTGTCAGGTCTGTGCTGACAGTGTGGAGCCTGCTTGGGATTTTCTCTGTCTCTCTCTCTCTGCCCCTCCCCCAACCCCTCCCCGTCAAAATAAATAAATAAACTTAAAAAAAAAAAAAAAAGATGGTTCCTTGATGGGGAGGACACAGACACAGCGTACCAGAATGAAAGCAGCAACCGACAGCTAGTATTTCCTGCAGTCAGAGGCAATTATTCGGTTGCCCAAATAACTATTGGGTTATTTGAATACTAATACTAATTAAGAGACTAATGCCAAACTGAATTAGCTTAGGGGAATTACCTTTTAGGGGAATTCCTACCATTTTCATAGCTATACCAACAAATGAAGCTTGGGTTAGTACCTTAGAGTTTGCAACTTGTTTTCAGTAATAGGAAAATTCTCTTTGCAAAGTGAAAAATGGCAAAATTGATTATTTTGCTAAAGTAGCAATTTATTTCAAAAGGATAAAGTGCTCTTTCTATGCACTCCCATGGGATATACGTGAACTTCCACATACTTCTCCTAGTACAGCACTTACCACACTGAATATAAGTATCTATCTGTATTCTATAGGATACAGATCTGTAGGCACAAATGCCTGGCACGTAGAAGGCAATCGCATGCTAAAACAATGAACCTGAAGTAGCCTAGTCTATCTTCACTGTCTGTACTTGGTTGGATATTAAGTAAATGTAAGCCTAAGCCAAATCTAAAGTTAAAAAAAATTTTTAGGGCAAAAAAAGCTGGGCGGGGGAAGGTGGGTGAAAAGATGGGGAAGGGGCTAGCAGTCAAGCTGAAAATGCTGGCTTTCATTTCGCACAACCCTCGTTCAAGACAAAGATGTGTTTTTCCCCCCTCAGAGGCCCATCTAGGAAAAGGAGCAGTAATTGACTTTCCAAAGGCCAGGATGAGTCACTAACTTCAGCAGTGCCTCCTTTTAAGAAAGTAACAGATAAACCCTGCCTCAGATATGTTAACAACCCCCTCCCACCCACACACCGCTAGAGGGGGCCAGCCACTCTGCTTCTGTAGATTTGTAGGATCGGGGTGGGTGGGCGCACACCACTTTACCCCAATAACACTAAACCTAAACCATCTGGCTGCTCATCTTCTGAATCCAGTTTCCTAAGCTGAGCTCTCTTCTCTACAGTCTTCTCCACTTACAGTAATTCTTCCCGCCACTTCTTTTGGCACCAAAGAAGACCAGGCTACGCTGGCTTTCTCCACTCAGAAGAGGGTCCTAAGTCATGTTTACTCATTAGACACTGACCTCCATTTTAAGACAGAAGAATATTAGGAAGAGACTAACCACTTATATAGAATTAGTTATATATACTTTCCCCAAGAAATAAATGTTTATCTTTTTCTGACAACCACAACACAGGACTTAAGTAGGTCATCCCTGGGGCCCAATTCTCAATTCTCCTTAAATGCCATTACACTCTTCACTCAACAGTTCATCTTGTAATACAGTAATCTACTTACCCCAGGTGGGGTACTCTGGAACCTTCTGAACCCCTAGCTTTCCTACCTTGTGAAATCAGGGTCCTTTATGATAACCGTCCTTTTCCATTTCAGAGAGAACTGCCTAATTCCAATAAGCAAGGGAGGGAAAGAGTCTATTAGGAGAAGGGCAGCTCACCTTATGCCAGAAGCAGGGATGAAAGCAGCAAAGGAAGGAAAAAGCAGCTGACCTTTTATAAGAATGGCTACAGCAGCGGCAAGCCAGCTAAATAAGTGCTTAGCCTCACCTGGGCTTTAATCCCAGAGTTGCCATTGACAATGTATTTCTTCTTGTTGCTCAGCATAGTGACATTACCAGCCCTTCTGCCACCTCTCCGGTCCAGGGACCCTTGTGGGTAGGCCTTTAAACTTTCCGCATCAGCAATTCTGTTGGCTCCGGTTCTAGCTAGCTTTTTTTTTTTTTTTGGAGGGGGGGGTACCCTTCCCTGGAATCCCTGAGGCAGCAGTAGAGCCCAATTTAATAAGGCATTTCTGTTAGTGGCTCATCAACCATTCCTAATTCTGGTAGCTGTTTTGCTTTCATTTTTTTTCCTAAACACCTAATTACATGATCCTCTGACCTCTAAACCTTAACAAGTCCCTTGACAAGGCCCAACTTGCATGCGTATAACAATAGCTTATTTATATAACCAGTGCACTTTTTTGCCTACTATAATTAACTTGCTAATTAGGTTCCTTTTTAACCTTACCTGCTCCTTTTCCATGTCAGATGATTTTGGTTAACCTAGTCTCATTAGAAAAAAATTAACTACAGAGCCACTAAAACAATGAGGGAATTTATTAATAAGGTAAGGGGGGAAAATGGTGCCACATGCTGAGGCAGCCTCTCCTCTACACCCGGTGTCCTTGGGTTTGTCAGACTGAGGACACGGTTTCAGCTGTCACCAAGGAAATCAACTTTCTCACACCGTTGCTTTACTCTTAATTGTGCATCTTTTATACAGGTTTTGACATACGGTTTCTAGTCCCAACTCAAGATTGTTGCTGAATTAGGTGGTGAGTGACTTTGCTTTTTTTCAAAGTTTTTCAAAAAACTGCGTGTTTCATGGGAAGTGTGACTACAAAGGAGAGTTTCCTATTTCCTCAGAGTTCCCAGAATCACAATGACCTTGTTACATAGCAAATAAAGAGTCAAATGAAAGGGGCAAGAATCACATTATTTATTTGTCAATTTCTCAAAGAGACCCACTAAAAAGGAAAGCCACATTCAACTATATGTTACAGAGACAGGGGTGGGAATGTGATTTGAATTCTTCCTTAAAAATAGAGACTGCTTACTGAGCACAAGAGAGAACATAAAATGGTAGATTCTTTTTCTAGGATAATCTTTGAGAGAAAAGGACTCTGGAAGAATGGAATAAAGGGAGAAGAGCATATATTTATTAAGTTCCTACTATGTATACATAGCCCTGCGTATTTGTTACTTCTAATAATCAGTATAAGAATCTTACAAAGTCAGCATCATTATTCCCATTTGACAAATTAGGGAAGTGCAGCCCTGATAGAACAAATGATTTGCTGGAGATCTCACAGCAAGTCAGTGATGGACTGGAATGGGAGCCTGTGTTTATGACAGAGCCAAAGTTCTTTCTACGACACCACACCTTATGATATTAATCAGAATATCAAAAACTCCCCTGGTCCTAATCCCAGGTGTCCTAGCTCCACCTCATTCCTCTTAATTTATCTTTAAACTTATTGATTTAAAATTACTCTTTAAATTTACTTTCTTATTAGATCAAGTCTCAGAAATTATATCATCCCACATGATCTTAGGGGCTCTGATCAAATCACAATTCTGAAATGGCTAATCATAGAATATGGAATCTAACAGCTATTTAATTGGCAACTGCCCAATGTTACTACCAAAAGTTGAAAGAGAAATTGAACTCAAATATGATGTTTGCCATCACCCATGACAATCCTGATCCTTACTCATAATTTCACCAAGACAGACAGACCAGTCTTTTTCTGCATGCATGACGAATCTCTAAACTTCTGCTCTTCCTAGTACCCTCTCAGCTGGTTCTGGATTGTCCTCGCTCAGCTGAAAGGGAACTTTTTGGTCCATATTGCTTAACTGAATAGGCCTGAGACAGAGGGAGCCGCAGATCTATACCAGATCCAACTAGAAGACATTTTAGGACACTATTACTGACAGGAAAAGCCTTACAACTCAATAAGTTTATCTAACAAAGTAGTTCT